TGCATTTATAGGTATAGTAATAACGGTGGAGGTGGAAGATGGGGACGCTGAAGAGGAAGAATTTATTGTAGTGTTTGTCGCTGCTGTACTATTAGCCAGCGCCCTGTTCGAAATCATTGAAGAATCTTTTTTTCTTCTTCGTTGAAACCATTCGTTAACTTGAACGTCAGTGGCACCAATCTGTGCAGCCAATTGAAGCTTTCGAGCTTTATCGGGATATGGTGTATTTTGATACACCCCTTCTAATAATGTTCTATGCTGTGTTGTAAACTGAAATCTAGGCCTTGGTTGTCTTGGTTGCATACTTGAGATGCTTACTTGATTCACGTTTTCCATTTATGAAATATTTTATCAACCTATCTTTTTTTGTCAATTAACTTATTCGGGTTCTGATGTTCTCGTGACTTAAAATTCATTGGTTAACAATTTTAGCAATGTAATATAAAAAAAAAAAAAAAAAAAAAAATCGCAAAATTATTGTTATACTAGGTCTCAGAACCCGGGCGTTGCTCCGGGTGCTAGTTTTTTTATTTTTTTTTAGTTCTTAAATTTTTTAAAATCAAAGTTTAAATAAAATATTAGCTTTTTTAATTATTAGTTAGTTATTTTTAAATATATTATTAATTAATAAATTTAGATTAAGATTTAAATTAAAAAAATATAAGTTAATAAATTTAGATTAAAATTTAAATTAAAAAAATATTAGTAATTAAATATTTATAATAATTTATTTAGTTTTTAAAATTATAAAAATTAAATATATAAGATCTGGTGATTTTAGTGTAGTGGTTAAGTTGCCAGACTGTCATGCAAGAGGTTTGGGGTTCAAATTCTATTGTTGACAAATTTAAATAATTACCTGAATCTTTGTATCTAACTTATGGTAAACCTTGTTCATTTCTGGGGTTGTAACTCTGTAAATCATGTTGTACTAATATCATCTGGATATTAGAAGTGTGATATGATGTTTGGAGAGTATAAAGTTATACAAATAAATCTTGATAGGATCTATGAGCAGAGGACTTGCATAGTAGAAATCCTGAGTTGGTAAAGTAGTATAGTTTTTAATAGTCATACTAGCTAACATTTAATTCAGAAAAAAAACTATTATCAAAAGATGCAGATCGAGTTGGATACACATAAATCCATTCTACAGAGAGAATTAGTAACATCAACTTAGCTTGGTGGCTAACTGAATTAGAAGGATTTGTCTCATAAAATATCTGAGAAAATAGACACAGAAAACTGGTAGAGAGTTACAGTAGGAACTGGGTTATATGAACATCTACAAGGGTCTAAGCTAGATAAATTTATAAAATAGATATGAACTACTTTAGTAAGTTTACTTCTGAGGTTAACTAGAGCTCTACAGTTCACAATATATTAGGCATATGCATCCTAAGAGGATCTAAGCTGTGCAGTAAATAGATCTACAGATGAGCTGACTAGCTTAAGCAGTTGGTCATAGTAGTGACATTAGTTTGAAATAGGAAAAACGTTAATGATCAGAGAGTTTAAATAGATAACTCATAGGTGAGTTGCAGATATAGCAGCATAGTATAAAACTAACAGATGGTCGATTGTCTGTATGGCAGACTACTTAAATTAGACAATGACTAAAGTTGTATATGTAGCTTGTTGTATACTTATTATATAACTATAAAACCTTAAAAAACTATTCATGTAATAGTTTCGTAATAATAAACTAATAAAATCTAATTAGCTAAAGAAGTGGTCTTAATAACAAAAAAAAAAAAAAAAATTAAGTATATATTTTCACTACAGCTGTTACTTTTACTTCAGTATTTTTGCTAAAACCTATTATACTCTAACTCTAACTCTAACTCTAATATTAACTCTAACTTTAACTCTAACTCTAACCTTAACTCTAACTCTAATTCTAACTTCTAATTTTAACTCTAATTCTTTAACTCTAACTCTAATTCTAACTCTAATTCTATTTTAATTCTAACTCTAATTCTTTTTTTTGTTATTAAGACTACTTCTTTGGCTAATTAGATTTTATTAATTTGTTATCACAAAGTTACCATAATAGTAATCTTCTAAGGTTTTATGATTACATGATGAATAAACAACAAGCTATATGTATAATTTTAGTTATTGTCTAATTTAAGTAATTTGTATATAGATAATTGACTATCTATTAGTTTTATACTATGCTATTATACCTGTAACCTACCTGTAAATTATCTATTTAAATATTCTAATTATTAATTTTTCATCTTATATCAAACTAATATCATTACTACATCTGATCATTTAAGTCAGCTAACTTGCTCATGAATCTATTTACTACATGACTTAGGTCTTTTCAGGATACATATTACTTAATATATTGTGAGCATATCACTAAATTTTTTTAAAGAATATATATTAATATATATCTATAAAAGATTTATATTAATTTAAATCCCTTCTGCTGTATTTAATCGTTTATGAAATAAATTGATATAAATCATATAATGATTTAAACTGATTAGACAGTTAATTGATATAAATAGATTAATATCATTTAATATTAATTAAAATTGATTAAAAGATTAATTTAAAAAATCGATTTAAATAGTTTAAAATCGATTTAAAAAGATTTAAATTGAATTGAAAAGATTAAGATCAATGCTATCAATATTATAAACTGAATTTAATCAATTGTATTTTTATTAAAATAGATTAAATAAAATTTAAATTAAACAGATTTTTAGTTTTATATTACTAATTTATTATTTTATTTATTTTTATTTATCAAATTATATTTGAAATAT